TTTTTTAATTCTGTACTCTTAAAGATGTCAATGTCATATTTTACTGTTTACAATTTCAATTTTGTACTTAAAGTAAAAACGTGACTCCAAATTTTTTGTGTATTTGTAAAATTTGTATTTATGTTTATAGATATTTTTCTAACTTACTGTTTTAATTATCATATATGTAATGTAAAATGTAGAAAATTTGAAAGTTTTATATATAATATTTTAACACTAAGAGATAAAGATAAAAATAGGCTCTCGAGATTTAACAATAAATTAATATTCAAATAACGGGCAATTAAGAGTAATAACTACGAGGTAATTCCATGTAATAAATGTATTTCTGGATTCCTTACACTGAATTAAAATAAAATTGAATGACCCAATTTTTGCTTTAATTCAATGTAAAGAATCTAGAAATATAACTGTAAAATAATAAGGCTTAAATTACTACGCAATTATTACTTTCAATTGCTCGTTATTTGAATATCAATTTGATACACAGAAATCTTTTCCAATTTATTATTTTAATTATCTTATAGCGTTAAGTCTGTTGTATAGTATAAAATTAAAGTTAAAACCTAAAAGTATAGAGAGGTAATTTAATTGTTCGAGATATTTACTTAAAATTAGTAATTTGTTTGCATTCTTATAGAATTAATTGATCGAAAGATTTATCAAAATATATTGCGATACTCCAGCCATAGATAATCTCGGGAATTGATGTCACCGTGACAAAATTGTCCTTTCTGAGAGGCAGATTGGCAAGGGGAAGAGAGAAAGGGAAAGGGAGAGAAGGCTTAACGAGCCTTCGATCGCCGCTTCCGGTTACATGGTGATCATCGCACGCTTGGTGTCCGTCGCTGACAACGACGATGAGGATGAGAGGGAAAAGTTAAAACGAATCTCTCCTAATTGCCGTTCCCTTGTTCACTCTCTCAGGTCCCGCGTTGTTTGTCACCGACGATCCTCTCTCAACTCTTTCTCTTTCTCTCTCCTTTCTTCCTCTTTCTCCAATATCGATGTCGAAAATGAAAGATCGACCAAACGAGTCCAAGCACCGAAACGATAAGGACGCTGATAGATTTCTATAAAGAGAAAAAGCGAGATCGAGAGAAGTCGTGGGATCAGGAGGGAAGGACGGAAAGGCTGAAAGAAAAAGAGAATTAAAGAGGACGAGCGAGACAGATAGATGAGGAAAAAAAGAGGAGGATGAGAGAAGAGAGATGCTTCGAGTCGACGAGTACAGAGGATGAGAGGGACGGAATTAAAGAGAGAAAGAGAAGCGATCTAAACGAGGACAGAGGGAAAGAGGGATAGGGCGAGGTACCGAAAGAGAGAGAGGGGGGAGAGAGAGAGAGAGAGAGAGAGAGAGAGAGAGAGAGAGAGAGAGAGAGAGAACAAGCGAGAGGATTTCGCCTTTGTCTTGCCGTGAGTGAAGAGAGTTCGCTTCGTGGTGAAGGAGTGCTTCTTCGTGCTCCTCAGTTTCTTTTCGTGCCTCGTCGTACTCCTTCAAGCTCCCTCGATTTCTTTTCTCCTCCAGGCTAGATCTTCGCGAATACGCTCGCCGTACGGCCTTCGAAGAGACGATGACGGGGAGGACGGTCTGCGTGAAACGCCAGTCTTCCCCTTAGCTGGCCAACGCCGGAAATTGACACCCGAGCTCCCCCGGTTTCCCGTCCGGCCAAATTCCTCCTCGTTTGCGCATCTGCCACCTTTTCTGTTTCTCGATTAGCAAATAAAGGTTTTTTCACGCAAAGTAATTGCACTGTACACCACGTTAAACTTTATCTCATAATGGTAAAATGTAATATTTGACTCGTTTCTGATCATAATTATCCTATTATGCAATTATTATATATCACAAAAGTATCAAACAAATCATTCTGAATGTAATATCGATATTGTAGACTCTCGATATTAAAACCAAAAGCAGAACCAACAGAGTAAATGAGAGTACATAATACAGTTACCAATACTCAAAGTAATAAAGTAAAATAATTTTACTCCTTTGTTCCACAGTATACGAATATAAATTTCGTGAATTATGAAATAGAGAGGAGTAAAATTTTTTTACTTTATTACTTTGCGTATTGATAATTGTGCTGTATTCTCATTTGCATTGTTGATTTTTTACTTCTTTTGGTTTTAAATACTAAACATTTTGCTCTCACAAGGGAAGGACTAGAAGTGAAACACGATTTTAAAATGTGATTTATTGTAAAGGATAATTGTTTATAATCATATCAAGAATCCCAAGCTCTAATTTAGATACCTATTAGCTTGTTAAAAAATATAGAATATAAAATGAATATAAAAATTACTGTACCTTTATATCTTGTTTAGTCAAAAGATAAGAATTATTATCGAATAATACTAAAATTATTCCAAATAAAAAAGAATATCGTTTGTGTTATTAAACGAAACATTCTGTAACAGAAACAAATTATTATTTAATAATAAAATTTTCAACATAATTGATTAATATCTTAATTAATTCACTTTTATATACATATATTATCACTAATGTATGTTCATCGGTTTATACGTTAAGAAATATGTTGCTCATCATCGACGTCTGTTTCTTTCAACGCAATAAGTCGCTTATATATATCGATGACGTTAACGATTAAGAACTACACCGAGTTCTTATTTTAAGACTCAATAAGTCTTTAGAACAGATTATCATCGTAAGCAAATAGCAACAGGTTTAATCACTAGTATCATAAAAGAAAATTTATGTTTCTTCAGTATTGGTTTATCTAATACATACATTTAAATAAATAATTTTTGTGATAAACCACATCAATAAAATTATCCAATTAACATATTAAGATAAATAAACAGTACCTAAATTGCATTCAATTAAGGCAACACTTCTACGATTACACTTTAAAAATTGCAATTGACAGTAGATAAGTTGACACCGAAAATGATTGTAAATTTCTGATGCCGCAATAAACATATTTTTTGGTCTATAAGACTACAAATATAATTTGCCTGTTCTTGGGAACACTTTACATTCGTCGTTGTTTTACAAATATAATAATATTATTATTATTATTATTAACATTATGCTTGTAATAATAATAATTATAAAAATAAAATTCCTAACCATAATTATTTTATTGAGCATATAATGCTACAATAAGTACAAAACGCTTTTCTCTTATAAGAGGAGGACCAAAAATTAAAACGCGTGTTTGAAACGCGATTTGTTGTAAATGATAATTGTTGATGCTCATATTAAAAATCCCAAACCCTATATAGCTAAAGTCTGCGGCACACGAAGTTTATATTTTTTTACTGGTTGCTTGCGTTTTAGCAAATTACCAGCAATACTGTGAGCAGTTCTAGTTATTTCCTAAAACGCAATTCAATAGGAAAAAAAGTATCGAGATTTTAGACACTCCTTACTTTGTTCAAAAATAAATATATAAAAAAATATAAAAATTTTAATGCCATCGGAGATTAATTACTTGGTATGATAATACATTTTAGGAAAAAGAGGAAAATAGTTAAGTGTTTATAATATTTCAAGGTTAATTGACTTTTTTTTTTAATTTGATGCTTAGACGGTATTAATATAAAATTAATGCGATCCCAAGTACGACGTTATTGTCTGCATTGTTGAGATGATAATAACGCATTAATTTGAGAATTGTTTTTATTAATAATCTATATATCGGAAAAAAGTCAATTGGTTCTAGAACATTGTAATACTCAATTTTTTTTTCTTTTCCCTGAGATCTATCACATTTCCAGTGACTAATCTATACGATGATTAAAATTTTTATATTCATTGTTAATTTTAAAAAACTAAGAAACCATAGTTTGAGATTTTTAATATGAGCAAAAAAACTACTTTTTTACATTTTGTGTTTATACTTCTGGTCTTATCTTTGTCAGTATACTCCACGAGGTAATTCAACTCGAGACGCCGAAAGAGAATCTTCGACAATTCGAAGCTATCTTTGTTCCTCTGAATAAATTTGTCATTTTGCATTCACGAGGATTGCTCGTATTTCTGTAAGTTTATAACAGGCCTGTCTAATTTGAGCTCCGGAGCCAAAACGCGAAACCATCAACGTAAAAAGTTCAATGTAAGTAAGATCTCAGATTGTAAATATTGATAAGCGTTACTTAGATGCGTATCAACACTTTATAGTTTCAAATTTCTTATTCATATTGAATTTTTGTGCATCGATGGATTTTCATTTTGATTTCGGAGCTCAAATTGGACAGGCTTAATTCATAATAATTTGCTTAGGCATAATCATCCTTGTGAAGGAATTTATTAGCGAATTCCAGAAGTTCTTTCCACACGGTTATATAACCGTCTTGTGAGTAATTTTTATTATGCTCTGAAAGTGATTCAACATGAGAGAGAATTGCTAGAATATTTTTCTATTATTCCGTATTATACGTTTTTAGAATCCGAAGAGGGCTCGATAAGAAAATCGAAACATATAAGTAATGTAATAACACGAATTGTAATTTAGAAATCTATATTGCAATTATTTGAAATCTGTAAGCACGTAATGTAACATTTATCTTATTTTAAATTATTTATTCCTTTCCGCGCCAGTACCCGCGTTGGGTCTTACATCGCCCATTTGAACGTATTAATTTCTTATTCCCCTATACTGAAAAAAAATCTTAATTCCAAAGAAATATTTTTGCTCGTATAAAAAAAATTAGAAATTTTTATTGATCCAAAGAAATAATTCTTTTGAATACAAAGGAAGAAACATTTTTTTTGAAATAGATTCTCTTCTCAGTGTAGAAATGAGGAAAAGAGATCCGCTATCAAGACGCGAGGGGGATCGATTCGACCGCGAGAAGTGCACGTTTCGCGGGGCGGTCGCGCCAGGCGCTAGGAACTTGGCGCCGACGCGACGGTCCTGGATCGACGGCGACGGGCGCGACCGAGCGCCACCGAGCAGTCCCGATCTCGGCGGTGGCCCCGTCGTAGCCATGTGTTGCGGTCCGCCGTGAGTGCTTTGCGACAAGAACGGAGACGCGCGGTGTCTCCTCTGTACGTCTTTTTTTCCGTGTGTCTTGTCTCGCGGTGCGGTCCCGCGAAATCCGCGGCCTTACGGTGCGCGTATCTTATACTCGTGTCGCGGCGCAAACACTAACCGTGTCACACCGGGCGGCCCTCGAATCGCGGGCGTCTGGCTCCACCGTTGCGCGGACGACAACCGAGACGAAAACCACCCGGGTGTGTCCCACTCTCGCGCGAGAGGAGAACGACCGAGCGAACGAAGAACGACGAAACGGAGAAAAGTGCGTTCGTGCGCGTGTGTGCGTGTTTTGTGTGAGTGCGAGAGTGTAGGACGTGCTTCTCTCTACGGCGTCGCCGACGACGGCGGGCAAGAAGGAGCAGCCCGTTGCGTTCGCAAGCGCGACTGTTTGGCCGTATACACTTCGGCATCGTTTTTCGCGTGTGTGAGTGCGAGTCGTTGGTGGAGGAGGAGACGGGTTGGTAGCAGTGTCGGTTCTACGAAGAGCAACTGAGCGAGAAGGATATAGAGGGGGCAGCAGGGGGGGCGCGCGCGCGAGAGAGAGAGAGAGAGAGCGCGCAGCCCGGGCGACTCGACCGAGAGAGAGCGAACGCAACACGTAGAAAGTGCAGTGCAGACGGAGATAGAAAGTGAGAAAGAGATAAAAAAAAGTATGATACAACGCGCGGCGTAGGTGTGCGTGCTCCGCCGGGGCTTACCGGAGACACGGGCGTTGTTTGTTTGTATACGTTTGTGCGTGTGCGCCGCGCAACATTCGTAACGGTTGGCCGAGAGACGGAGCGAACTTCAGGTGGCGGAAGAACCGCCGGGAAATTACCGCGAGACCTTTCCTCTCGGCGTATCTTTCTTTTTTCTTTCCCTTTTCGTTTCGAACCGTCGCGTCCTCGGCACGCCGCCGGCCGCGGAGTGGCTTGTGTGCCCTGCGTGTTTCGTGTTTACCGGGCGTAACGGAGGAGCGGTGCGCGACATATACACACGCACGCACACACGGGCGAGAACGGAAGGAGTGAGGGACCGGAGCTGAGGCGCGTGCGAGAGAAGAAGAGCGCGGCGGTTGTAGGGGGGAGGTGAGAGGCGCCGACGGGAGCAGCCGGGGCGAAAAGGGAGTGAGATAGCGACAGGTGAGGAAAACGGCGAACAAAAAATCGGAGCACGCGGTGTAATCGACGCGGGTTGCGCTCCGCGACTTGGCGGTCGCGCGTTCGATCGGGGTGTGTATCCGTCGCGGCGCGAGAACAACGAGTCCGGGACGAGTTCCTTGGCGGCGGCGGCGGCGACGGCGGCGGCGGTGGCGGCAGTGACGGCAGTGCCTCTGTCCTCTGTGTGTATGTGTGTACGTGCGTGAGAACAGGGTCGCGAGGTGAAGCTCGCGGCGAGCAGCGACGAGCCGCAGCCGGCAGCGACGAACGGTTGGATTATACGCAACGAGAGAGGAGATACCCCGGGATCTAATACGCTTAACACGGGAGTGAGAGGATACACGGGAGGAAGAGCCACGGACGGGGACGTAGACCTCGCGGTGGAGAGAGAGAGAGAGAGAGGAGCGCCCCGCCGGTCATCGTTCGGGTGTATTGCCTGCCCTCGCCGACACGCGGCAACGGTGAGTAGTGATTCTCCTTCTCTTTCGTATCTCGCTGAGAGAAGTTACGTGAACTTGGCTAACCCTTCCCTTTTCTCGCAAAGTCAATTTTTTTCCTCCCCCCCCCCCCCCCCCCCCCCCCCGGTGGTTGTTTGATCGCGCGCGCCATCTTTGTTTACGCCATCTTAATTTTGAACTGTAAATACCGTGATTATGTATTAAAATTTGCTCGGAGGACCGCTTGGAGTTAAGTACCGTCGTAGTGCACTCTCTGTTCTTTTTGTCGGGATCAAGATTAATTGGGACGCGCTGTTCTCTCTCGTTTTCGATCTTTCTCATCTTTGAATACTCAACGTGACGTACACACACACACACACACACACACACACACACACACACACACACACACACACACACACACACACACACACACACACACACACTTAGTGCCTCTCTCAGCAGGCTATACGTGTAACTACGTGTCTGTGTGTGTGTGTGTGTGAGAACAGGCGGCCGCTGCCTTTACAACGTGCCTGTGTATGTAAGTGACTTCTGGTGTTCTGGTTCTCTCTCTGTGTAGCAATACGTTGTGCTCTGGTCGCTCCAATAGCCTCGGCACGTTGATATATCGATTATTAACTAACAATAAGCCTAAAAAGACTTATAGCGCGGGAACTCGAGGCAGTTTTTGCTTCGCGCAGGTAAATTTCAGATTTATTCGAAATTTACCTGCCTAAACTGAAGGCGATAATGATATTTATTAAAGCGTTAATGCAATAATCCTGCTCACGAGAATGCGTTAGTATAGTTAGTGTGTTTAACGGTTGATTAACTGTCGTTATCGCTCATTCAACGTATACACGAATAAATTCGTAGAGATTACCTAATGAGCAAACTTCCTCGTTTTTGCGAATTTGAATACAGGCGTGCAAAAACGTAGCCTTTCAGAATGACGCGTTTCTATTTTTTTCGATTATAGGATTGTTACGTATTATCGATTTATTATCTTGACAAATTTATGTGTTCATATATTGCTTTTTTATTTTAAAAGTAACACAATATAAAAAAAAAACGTGAAAACAAATTTAACTAAACCAGACAAATGAGAATATAGCGCGGTTAACAAAACACAAATACAGTATAACGGTAAACAATTTTTTTCCTTTTCTATTGAAACGTGTACGTCAATGATTGGTTTACATTTGAATGTGATTTTCGAGTTATTGCCCTGAGTTAAGTAAACATTAGTCTGTTAATTATCAAAAGAGAACTCGATTTTAACTTTATTAAAAAATTATTGCAACTTAAAAAGGGTGATTTAACGTTATGTGGAATGCTATCGTGTGTAAATTTTTTACGAATTTTACGTGCGAGTGAGCGAGGTCATTGGTCGCTAAGCTATGCCTTTGGTGGTCTTGGTAGTCTAATTTGCTATGCTAAAAGCTAAAACAAACGTAGACAAGCAAAAATTCATTCCATTATATATCAGTTTGGATTCCTGGGTGGTGTAACAGAGAATATGATAAGTAATTTTAATCTTTAAGTAATCTTTTGTATTATTATATTGTATTATTATTTTATTCTATTCAAATTTTATGAGAAGAGATTATAAGTATATAGTCTATATCCATATTTGATAATTTGTTTATTCTTTCTTTTCTTTTAAATTAGTAATTAGATTTTGTGTTTATAAAGACCAAAATTATTAATATTTTGTCATTAAAAGTATAAAATATACGAAAATCTTATGTTATATTAATTAAAAGTAGCTTATTTTCATGCACATGAAATTTACGTATCAATAGGATTAAAAATTCGAGAGTTAAAAAAAAATTATCATTATCACAATTTTAAAAATTTATAATTTTTTTAAAGAATTTTAAAACAAAATGACAAAAAATAACATTTGATTATGTTATGAACATATTCTTGCTACTGATATTATATTTGATTATCTAATAAATAATTTTCTATCCAATTGAAGGATAGCTTTCCCTTTTTTCTAGAAAATTATAAGTTAGTTCACACACACGATTAATTCATTATTCTTATCCCACTTTTTCTTCGAAAAACTATTATAGTATTAGTATTAAATAATTTATAATATTTTTATACGTATATAAATTTTTTAAATACATTTACAAATATTAAACACACCTTGCAAATATTATTTAAAGATAGCAAAAGAAGCAAAAGAGCGATATATATTTATTATATTATATTATATTTATACCTAGTTTCTCATGAATGATTCCAACTGTAAGTCAGGCATAAGCACATAGATATGATTATCTCAAGTGTGATTTAATCGCATCGATTTGTTGATAAATCGGATGGAAAGTGAGCGAGCGTCCGTGATAAATGAGAACCCGTTTGCGTGTATTACTTAAAAAAAACTACTGTTAACCATTGCGGGCTTTCGGATTCCTGTCGAATAACAGTTTGCGTTGCGCGAATGCGGCTCTCTCGCGAAAAGGTTATTTCAACAAACTCAATTCTCCGCGAAGTCCCTGATATCGCGTGAGAGTGCTGGTCTACCGTGACCACGCATGTGTGTGTGCGTGCGTGCGTGCGGACGACCACCGGCCGCATGTGTCTCTCGCGGGCAAACGCGAACACGATAGTCACGCCTGCCGCAAGCACGCACGCACACGCATCGACACACGCACACAAACACACACATAATTCGCATTCAAAATGTAGAGACCCCGAGTCATCGTAAGAGAGAATTTCTGCTTTCACGTATTCGAATCGTAGAGGTGTAAAACACGATATAAGGAACGGAGGGAATAAACGTGGGAATATGGTGATCGATACGAACGAGAGAGGTATATCGATACGCCTCGCTTGCATCTAGCCTGGGAAATATATATATATATATATATATATACATAGTTATTCGCGATATCTATCCGAGACGCGCGAATAAATTTCCGGCATACTTTCCGCGTGTCGTTTTGATTTGCTGTTGTAAGGCTCGAGGTATATTCTTGGCGCCGGCATTTCACCTTTGATATCGATACCGACGATAACTCGGGCGGAAATGTCGAATGGAAAATACTCGTCGGGATAATAGAGTGGAGATCCCTTCAATAAAACGTGATTCGCGCAATAACGAAATAACGGCGAATAATCGCCGTTCGGCGTTAACAGTCCTCCATCAGCGGCGGATACGTTCGTTTTCACGACGCGCGTCTGCGTTCGAGCATGCAGTGACGCACGCACACACAGACACGCGTGCGTGCATGTAGACGACGCACGAGTCTCGCTCGAGGCGACGACGAGGATTCATTCAAGGCGGAGCTTGCGCTCGCACGCGCTCGCACTCGCGAGCGAAATACGTTGCGTAGGTACGCGGTTACTCACGCGTGTCGCCGTCCGGCTGCGTGGGAGCGGTACTTGACGCGCGTGCACGAGACTCGAGAATTCTATATTGAGAATAAGGGGAGATACCTTACCTTCTTGAATAAACTTCTGCAGCGTGTATAAAGTTTACTTGAAAGTGAAGCGAAACTCGCATCCGCCGTTCTTTCCTTTCGTATATTGAAAAATACGATCTCTTTTATCGCGCGTATTATTGTACTTGAGAGATAAAAGTGTACAGTAAACTTGGCAATCTACATTTCTGAATTCTCTCTTGGCAATTCATAGCTTTGAGTTCAGAAGATTCAGGCAACTTTTATTGGTTAAAAAGGTTTACACAGAATGACGGGTTAAACGTGTATTATTTTCTAGCTCATAATTGGTCACATTTGTCAATAAACTCTGCTCTCTATTATAATTTTGTGTAGCAAAGTTCGCGTATATATGGGTACAATGAAGGGAATTTCCTTTTCTAGATTGTTTTAAAGTAAAAATACATATTAATGGTGAAATATATGTGAATGTATTACTTTTATGTAAAAATAACTTGTAGTTTTAAATTTCATTATTTTTACAATGCATAAATTGAAAAAAAACAATTTCATGCGAAATTACAAAAAAAATAAAATATTACGTTTATTCTATGATTTTACATTTATTGTGTGATTATTGTAAACAATCAGAATCTGTACTCGGCGCGAGCGCACCAAGAAAAACGCCGCGCCGTGGATGTTCAATCGAATTTTTTACATACAAAATGGAATCTCGTAAATACATATTGCATGTAAAATTAAATTTGTAATTTTCCGTGTGAGCTGGAATATTACTTGATTATATACTGGATTGGAAAAAAAACTCAGCATAAAATCATGTAATTCACACAAATATTTTTTTCAGTATATAATTAAAAGAATAAGAAATGTTTACTTTTTCTCGCGATATTTTATAAATCAAAATCAATGAGAAATATTGTTTTTGTAAATATGAAGTAATAAACATTTAGATTAATAGATTAAAATATTATTCTGAATAATTAATATTTTAACATTACACACAACTATCTTTTTCTTAAGTAATATAATTATTACTTAAATAAGATATATATTAAAATATTAAAATAATATAAAATAAGGCCCAATAAGTACAAAACAATAATAGTAATAATATTATTTAAATTAATGTTTTAATCTATATTATATAAAATATTAATTTATTCTAATCTAAATGTATATTATATAATTGGAAAATTTGTATTAAATTTAACATACTTCACGTGTGTCTCAAATGTACACTCAAATTGTTACGTTAATTTAACACAAGATGAACTTAGAAGGTAACACAAATATTATATAAAAAAATTAACATTTATGATATGTTAAATATGTATTTTATTATTCATTCATATTAGGATTTACATTTTAAAATATTTTATGTTGTTTATCGACTTATTTGTAAATTTCGTTATTTTGGTACTATAAAATAAATATGTGAACACAAAAGATTTAAATAACAATCAAATTATGTTAAATTAATCCAAATATGTTAAAAATTCAACATAAAATTTTACAAAAGACTCGAGTGGATCGTTTCTGACACAAATATAAAATGTTTCTATAGTATATTTTTAATATTCACAAACAGAATATTTTTTGTTGATT